GGTGGGGGGGTGGGCAGGGGAGAAGTGGGGAGGAGGTGAGATGGCTATGGGGGCACTAGACCACATCCAGTATGGCAAATATTCCTTCTTACTGACTGACCTGATTGGCCCAAGAAACCTTTTCAATATAGCAACCAATCAGTCAATGCGAGATGAAGGGTAATTGAAACCTATGCCATATGATCTCTAATGCTAATATTTGATTCTATATATCAGAAGGTAAGGCAGTTAAGACACTTTAAGAGGTTTCAGCAAAAGATTTAGGGGCAAATAGGCCTTAAGAAATTTAAGTAACAACTGTGTGGCAACAAACTCCTTTAAATGGCCAAAAGGTCAAGTTGTTTATAAGAAAATCACTTTCCGGGGACTCTTCCCCCTCCCTACATGGGAGTCAGTTCTGTGGAACCCTTTTCCCCCTCCCTACTTGGGAATCAGTTCTGTGGGACTCTTCCCACTCCCTACGTGGGAGTCTGTACTTGTTCTTCAATAAATCTCCATCTTTGCTATAAAAAAAAAAAAGAAAAAAAAAAGAAAATCACTTTCCCATACATTCTAATCAGAGAGATATATCATGATCAGATTTAGTCTTATAAAAATTGTGGAAAAACATTTAAGTTGCAGATACAACAAAAATACTTGTTAACTTAAATATTAGCCAAATTCAGTTAAAATGGTCTTAAGTATATTATATATATTGGTATATAAGGGACCTCAACATGCCAACACATGTATCAAATAAAAAAGGAAATATCTTAGAGGATAAACATCCATTACACATTTAGTTAATAGTTTACACAGGCTCTTATGGGCTGAATCGCCCCCCCCCCCAATTCATATGTTAAACCCTAACCCTCAGTATCTCAAAATGTAACTATATTTGGAGATAAGACCTTTAAAGGGGTGATTAAGTTAAAATGACACCATTAGGGTGGGCCCTAATCCAATCTGTTGTCCTTATAAAAAGAGGTGATTTGGACACACAAGGGACACCAGGGCTGTTGGGTGCAGAGAAAAGGCCATGTGAAGACACAGCAAGAAGGTGACTTCTGGTCTCCAGAAGTGTGTGAAAATGAATTTGTTGTTTAAGCCACTAATCTGTTATTTTGTTATGGCAGCCTTAGCAAACTAAACTAATGGGTGACCTAAATCTCACAGCTTACAGAACTGCAATAGAATCCATAAACACTTGGTGTCATGGGTTCCCATACACTCTTTCCATGCCCAGCATCCTTAAATTGGAGCTTTGGCAGCATCTAAGCTATCTCTTAGAACCAAGTTCAAACTTTCCCATTCCCTGGCATTTGAAAACAGGGTATGAGGAGAACTTCTGATGTGGAAAACAAAATAACATGAAAAATTTCAAACATATCAGAAGTAGAAAACAGTACAATAAACTTCCATATACCCTACACCCAGATTCAACAAGCACCAAGATTTTGCTGTATTTACTTCAACTCTCTTCACCCTCTTTTCTTTTCCTTGGCTGTTGTATAATTTATTTAAAATTAACCAGCTAATATTTTATTATAGACTCTGTAATGGACATTACATGACTGTAATTTACATATTTTGGCATGTCATTAAAGCTTTTTTTTTTTTACAGTGTAAAATTTTTCTATTTAGAATTAGGCAGCTGGACTCAGTTTAGATGATCCCAATTTTGTTGGCAACATCCAAAGCATCATAGTCAGGAGCCAGTCGAACATATGCCTTCTTCTTGCCATCAGGCCTGATCAGGGTGTTGACCTTGGCCACGTCAATGTCATAGAGCTTCTTCACAGCCTGTTTGATCTGGTGCTATTGGCCTTGACATCCACAATGAACACCAGTGTACTATTGTCTTCTATCTTCTTCGTGGCTGACTCGGTAGTCAGGGGGAATTTGATGATGGCATGGTGGTCAAGCTTGTTTCTCCTGGGTGCGCTCTTCTGAGGATATGTAGGCTGCCTCCGGAGCCTTAGTGTCTTTGGCTGTCGGAAGGTGGGTGACGTGTGGATCTTCTTTTTTGTGTGGCTGTGGACACCTTTCAACACTGCTTTCTTTGCCTTCAAAGCCTTTGCTTTAGCTTCGGCTTATGGGAGGGGCAGGGGCTTCCTTCTTAGCTTTTGGCGCCATCTTTGTAAAAAGCTAAAGCAAATTCTTATTAATACAAAGGTAAAAAAATTGAACTGAGATAAAATACATTCTAAAATCTTTTTTAAGATCAAGTTTTAAAAAATTATTTTTTAAAAAACACTTTATTCTTTTTCTTCCAAAAAGAATGTCAGTGTGGGCCTTTGAGAAACCCACTAGTTGTGATCACTATTTATTATATCTCGTTCATTCACCCTCCAGAATTCTACCTAAGAATGTATAAAATGCAACTGGATTTACAGAAATAATTTTCTAAATTACACTGGAAGTAGTTTAAATTAAAACACGCATAAACAGTATAAACAAGTTAGTTTATTTTTAAAAATTACAATAATTACAAATAGTACAAATGGAGACATTTTTCCTGTTCCTGTGACAGAAGCTGACAACCTTCACTTTCAGTAGGGTTTTTGATATTTTGATATGAGCACATTCTGTGATATGCTGCCTTTAAAAAAAAATTTTTTCTAAATAATTCCAGGAAGCCTATTAGTGATATATACATGGGTCTTTACCTCAAATCTTATTTCTGGAACTACTATGTACAAGTCCAACACAACTAAACTAGAACAGGGTGAGAAGGCACTGAATTGAATAATCTTTTTTCCCAACAATAATTTTTCTTTTTTAAATCCTCACTCAAGGATATTTTCCATTGATTTTTAGAGAGAGTGAAAGGGAGGGGAAGAGACAGAGATATCTATGTGAGAGAGACACATCGATTATTTGCCTCCCTCACACGCTCTGCCTGGGGCTGGGGATCGAGCCTGCAACCAAGGTACATGCCCTTGACCAGAATTGAGCCTGGGACCCTTCAGTCCATGGGCCAATGCTCTAACCACTGAGCAACCAGCTAGGGCCCAACAGTAAATTTTGATAATTCTCTAAATATTCAACAAATGGTTTAGAACTAAAATCATGATTTTTGGCTTTAAAAAGTAAATCTGCTGTAATTTTTAATGGGCTGCACAATTCCACTATGGCCAATATTACCTTTTTTTTTACAGGTTTGCTATTGTTTAAGAAACAGAACTCTACAATATTCAATTCGGTATGCTTTTTTAATCAGAGTCACTACTACTGCTTGAGGAGTCTGTTGACATAACCTCTACATCATCTTCATTTTCTTTATTATGCCCTGGAGGTTCCAACAAAAAGTCATTACTGTGATTTGGTGGTAACATATTCATTGCCATATCATTTGATTGCCAGGGATACTGTGGAGCAAGGACATCTAGAGAAAAGAAAGAAGCACATGTAAGAATCTACTAGTGATTATTTACTTCTAGATAACTCTTCCCTCCATGCAATTATTTTGAAATAAGTATTTTTTTTAGGCTAGAAATCAAAACACTCATTTGGCCAAATTAACAAAGATCCAATTTATCCAGGAAGAGAGTAATGTTTTAGTAACTAGAACTTCTGATTTTTAAAAAGTCATACTTTATCATAAGTAACTATTTATATAGTCAGTAGATAATTTTTCTTTTGCAAAACATAATTACAAATCACATTATTTGCTATACCAATGGATGTATGTACATATACAAGGTGAGGCAAAGATAGGTGTACAGTGTGAGTACGCAACACGTTATTTTTTATTATTTACTAGAGGCCCAATGCACGAAAATTCGTGCAAGAGTAGGCCTTCCTTCCCCTGGAGGCTTTCCTCTGGTACCTGGGACCTGGGCTTCCTTCCTCCGGCTGCAGGCAGGCACCTGGGACCCGGGCTGGCTCCTCCCACCCCCCCGGCCCCGCCCCAGCTTTGTCAGGAATGACGTAGGGAAGACATCTGGTCTAATTAGCATATTGCCCTTTTGTTATTATAGATTCTTGTGTTACTTTCCATACAAACAACTGTACATCTACTTTTACCCCACCCTGTATGTTAGATGACATATTACTCTATATATTCTTTATATACATTATAAATAGTTAATGTATACTATACTATGCATTACAAGTTTAAACTGCCTTTTAAGCGTCAAATCCACTCTTCTCCCTTGATCCTAAAAATATTACTCCCTTGCCAGCAGCCACTTTTAAGCTTTGCCAGTAGAGGGCACTGGAGGGTCTCTATCCAAAGCATCTCTTGGATCTGATGCTTTCCTTACTCTTGTGCCTGGCTGGTGTACAGGACAAGTGGTGCTCACCTCCGAGACAGTTTCAGTGGCGTCCCAGAGGATGGTTTCCCAGGAAAGTTTCATCATTACCCCAAAGGGTAGCTTTCTAGCAAGTCTTGCTGGAATTCTAGTGGGTAATTTCCTGTTTGCCAGCTCTGGCCTGTGACACCTAACTTCTCTGCCATCCAGTGGGCCATGGCTATACCCCCTCTATTCAGGGCATCATGATATGAATGTAGGCCTTGGGATGGGGGTGGGAGGAACCTTGGGTACACTGACTTGCTATTAGATGTAGTAGCTGCTCCCCATAGCTGTTATTCCTTTAATAGTTAGTATCTTGTTACTATACTAGTTATTAATTCTTTAAAATTTCCTTGTCCACACTGCTGGTGTGGTTTCTGCCTCCTAAATAGACCTTGCCTGGCATATGATATGGAACAACTGAGGCCACTAAGCCAGAACAAGTGGAACACAGAAACTGAGACAGATAGCTGGACAAACTGACAGAGCAATTTACAGATACAGAAGGTCACCTCCCCAGAGATAACATCTAGGCCTCAGTTGTATTTCAGTTCCAGACCCAGAAAAGCAGCAAAACCAGATGGGTGACACCAGGTCCAGCTGCCATGACTAACGACCCCCTCCCCTGACACTGACTAATCAGTGAAGACCATGACCCTGAGGAGCACACCTAGAAAATGATGAAGATTCTGTTGAAACCCACCCCTGTGACCTCCCCTAAGGTTCCTGCCTGCAAGAGAGATAAAAACCTCAAGACGACCCAGCACTGGCTCTCCTTCCTAGGGGCACACCAGAACCTCCCCACCCCTTCTTCTTCCACAGGCATGCATCTCCTAAACTCTAAGGGATCCCAGGAGGCTTTCAACCAGGGCAGCAATGGGCAGCAGCAGTTCGTCCCAGGCAACCCCCTGAACCTGTCCCCAAGACCCCCATTTCTCTGACTTCTTAGCCAAAGCAGACCAGCCTAGGCTCATTTCCCCAGTCCTTTCTTGTTTCACTCCCCACCTTTATTAAATGTCCTCTAAAATTCACCTGGACTCCTGCTGTGAAATTTTTCCTGCACAAAGTAAAAAACCCACACACTATCAGCTGGCCTAGGCAGATCCTCCAACAGCCAGGTCCCCTTTCCATAACAAAATCACAAAGAGAAAAATGAGGCGATATCCATGGAAACTAATGCACAGTGAGTTCCCAGTTTGTACTTTAGATAATTAACGAAAATAATGCTTACAAAGCATTTTCAGTAACACAGGGACATCCTTACAAAGAGAAGAAAAAATATATATATATTTAGAGCACATTTTTAACAATGTAAATAAATAAAACAGAGGAAAATAATAAAATACTAAGTGACTGATGAAAAGGGTAGTATTTTCCTTTTTTAACTTTTAAAATGTTCTTCCAAATCAAAACAAGTCACTTCTATAAAAGATAACATATGGGAAACATAAAGTAACATACAAGAATAGCACAAACCATACTATATGCAAAACTTGAGCCAAGTCTCACAAAAATGATATTTCATAAAGTTATTAAAAGCCTATAAAAGCTTTGTTATTCATTTTAACTTGGGGTGTTTTAGGAGTGTATCTACTTTATCATCTTTAAACTCAAAATATGTATTTCTTACTGTTTATACAGTACGTCTCACAATTTTATTTTTTTTATTATTTTTTAATCCTCACCCAAGGATATTTTTCCATTGAGCTTTAGAGAAAGCGGAACAGAGAGGGAAAGACAGAGAGAAATATTGATATGAGAGAAACACATCGATTATTTGTCTCCTGCACGTGCCCCAACCAGGGCCTGAGCCGGGGAAGAGCCTGCAACCGAGGTATGTGCTCTTGACTGGAATCGAACCTGGGACCCTTCAGTCCACAGGGCTCTATCCACTGAGCCAAATCAGCTAGGGCTGTCTCACAATTTTAAAAACCAATGTTTAGAACAATAAAAATAATAAGAGAGAGCCCAATCCCTGAGAAAAATGGCATATTAACAAATGAGAGAAAGGTCAGTTTATTCTAATTTCATAACCTCCATCTAGAACAGTCCTTAAACTAAAGAGCAGAATAAACTGGCAGAAAACAGCTATTAAAATGAATCGGATCTGGTACCTCAAACTTGTGCAACAGCCAAAACTTCAGTCTGTCTGAAAGCATTCTTTTAATTAATATTACCTGGCAATCTGCCTGCCGCAAGTGCATCTCCAGGTAAATGACCATTCACACCATTAGTGGAAGGATTGTTCATTTGACCCAATAATCCACTTCTCATCTCTAAATCCGTTGGGTATGGTCTCCGTGGGTCCCCTAAAAACACACACAAACATAACAAACACCCAAACCCAAAACAGATGACTTTTAATTCGATTGGTTCATTTTGAAAAACTCAAGCTAAACTTTAAATTTTGAAATATGAAGGACATCTTATCAATTGTTACTAAGAGGATAATATATTTAATACATGTATTTTTATTTCTTCTCTAAATCTTCACTATAATATACTATTCTCTATATAAAAAAATGAAAGTTTGTCAATTTAGCAAAAATTCAAAATGACAAATTTAAAAAGTTAAAATGATCTTGATTCTTCTAACTTAACTGCATTATTTAGTATGAAAATAATGATACATAATCTGAGGGAGAACAGATCATGACACTTTTTTTTTTTTCTGATGGAAAGGACTGAATGCTTACTGGAAGAACTATCTAAATTAAAACTTTTTTCTAACCAATCTCGTTCATCTTGTCATTTAAAGACTAATTCTTTGACTTTCCAGTGGAGTATCAGGGGTGAGTAATCTTTATTTCCAATCATAAAAGCATACTAAATAGTTTGGGGCAGATCAAAACTGGGCCAGATTTGGACCAAATTTTTGATAATATTTCTCACAAACTCCAGTTACTGACCCCAAACAATGTAGTTACTCTGAGTTTTCTTCGTATGGCAAAATACCATCAGGAATTACTGAAGTTGAGATAACTATCTCCCACTCCTCCCAAGGCTGCTGCTCTACCTTAATGTCTCCATCTTATGTTTTACCCATTGTCTATTAATATAGTTGCAGCTTGTTACTCCCTTTGCTGTCTTTTTTACTCCAGCTCTTCCCAGTCCTGTGTGTTTGCTATTGGGCCGCTCAGTGCTCTATCTTTATCACCTAATAGCTGGAATTGTCTGTTTCCCAGGCTGGAATATTTGTGGAAATCCTAATGGCTCTAAAAAGTTGGCTTCTGGCCAGCATGGGTTTTACAGGCATATAAATCTATAGCTTTAGAATCATCACAAATTAACTTGTGCTTTTAAAATTATTTATTAAAAAATAAAAATAAAACAAACACAGGTCCTGGTGCCAATAGCTTTGTAGAAAACCAAACCAATAAAACCAATGACCTACATTCTTACTTATAAAACTTTAAAAATGTGAAAATACGTAGCAAATGTTACATAATTCTGTATTTAAATACATTCTATATCTAAATATTTTTCTCTATTTTAGTGTACAGTCATGTAAGAATTTTCACATATATCTAGTAAAAAGAGAAGTATTTTTACCTGGAACCCAGGTCAGTGGGGCACACACAGCATTACTTGCACTAATCCTATGTGCATACTTAATTATTTCTTCAGAGGAGATTGCACCTGAGAGAGTCAAGAGTTGAGTGTAAATACAGAAGTTTATAAATGCATAAATCATAGTTACATATAATACTTAATTTTTAAATGATTTGAAAATAGGATAATCTGAGTTACCTACCTTCCCTAATAATATCTGAATGCATAATGTGACTTAAATCATACATATATATTTCCAAACAAAAGAACAAGACATTCAGAAAAATCAACTGACATAATTAAAGTATTAAATTTGGGAGAAACCAAGACGGTGGCATAGGTAAACACCTGAAATTGCTGCCTCACACAACGACTTCAAAATTACAACTAAAAGACAAAAGGGACATCATCCAGAACCACAGGAAGGCGGGCAGAGGGGAAATTCTACAACTAGAAGCAAAGAGAAAAGCACACTGAGACTCAGAGGAGGTGCGGAAGTAAAGTGCAAAGGTACGGGGGCGCACTGAAAGGGCTGGCAACTGAGGACGCGGTTGTCTTTTTCAATCAGCTCCCAACTGCTCTGAACTCCAGTTCTGGGTGAGTCTCTGGGGACCCAGACTCATACGGGGAGAAACTGGACTGTCTGGGATCGGGCGGAACTCGAGGGCAGCTTTCTCTCAGAGGTGCTCGCAGTGATTACCACGGGACACAGACCCGGGGCCTCTTAGGGTAGGACTGAGGATCAGCCATAGCTGTTTGCTCCGCCCTGTTGATTCCCTGAGACCCCGCCCCACCCAAGCTGCCAGCAGAGGCTTTTGCATATGAATGGCCTGGCCCTTTGCAATCTAAAATTACCTAACAAACTGCAGCTGGGTCAGAGAGACCCAGAACATCCAAAAGAAGGCCCAAGGCCCCAAAACAGCTTGCACTGCTTCACAGCTGGGCCTCATCTGGGCACCTCCAACTCCCAAACACAGAAGAGGAATCTGAAGATCTCTCCATAGCTCCTGCTGAGTAGCCTCAGGCAGAGGCTAAATTAGTACCTCCTTAGAGATCTAAGTGCCAGTGTACCCAGTGGTCAGAGTGGGACCATCCAGATTACAACTCCTCAGATCCATAAG